CCCGCTCGCTCGCTCACTCACTCACTCGCCCACCCACCCGCTCGCTCACTCACTCACCCACCCGCTCGCTCACCCACCCGCTCGCTCACCCACCCGCTCGCTCACCCACTCACTCACCCACCCGCTCGCTCACTCACTCACCCACGCACCCACCCACTCGCCACACTGCAGGTCATCTCACGTCTTTCGGCTTTTTCCCCTCGCTCTGCTTCACTGTGGAATTCTCTCTCACCGTCATCGTCATTTCTTCTCCCAAAGTTCTCACAATGACGACGTGGAGCGTCGACGTCACCCCGGCGATGGTTAGCGAGCTGCCCTATGAACCGGGCGACCAGCATTTAATTCCGGCTTGCAGGCAATAACAGTGGCAAATACATCTTTGAACTAGTCCTGGGCTTCCCCTTGGCTTGACTCAGCCTGAGTACCTGGTGCACTGTATGAACATCAGCACTGGGGAGACAAAGGCGGCCGGGCACGGTTTTGCCCACCCATCCCTTCCGTTTTGCCGTGCCGGCCTTCGTAGGTGCCCCGCTGCTCGCTGACAACACGCCGCAACAGTCTGTTCCGTATGTTCGTACGTTCGCACGCTTGCATGTTTGTGCGCGCGTGTTGTTATTGGTGCTGGTGGTGGTAGTAGCAGGAGCAGCAGCAGCAGCAGTGTGTGGGGGAGGGGGCGGCACATATGGTGTTCGTTAGCCCGAGCCTCCTGCTGCTGCTGCTGCCGCCGCCACGCCTCGCGATTGGTGGCGGCTGTAGTGGCGGCGGCGGCGGCGGCGCTCCTCGCGTTGGTGTTTGGCGACGGCGGCAGCGGTGATGGTGGGGGTTGGGCGGTGACCGCCCTGCTCTCCATAATAATGGCCCCGGGGCAGCGCGCAGCGGCCCCCGGCCCGGCAGGACGCTGGGAATCCTAAAACGTGCACGCACGCACACGCACGCCAAGACAAAGATTCCACCCCTCCCGCCCCATATCCACCCCTCCCGCCCCTACAGCCTTTAACAGACTGTTTGTGGGGGGGCGGGGGGCCCAGTACCGTTAGCGAGACGGACACGCGGAGGGACAGGAGTGAAGGGACGCGGGGAGAGTGATGGATGTGCGTAGAGAGGCTCGTACAGACGCCCTAATAGAGAACGTGTGAGACGCACACAAAGAACCCCCCCCCCCCCCCCCGCGTAGCCTCTGATAGACTGTTGGGGCAAGCGCCTTCGGTGAGCACCTTTGAAGGCCGCCACGGTACGCGAGGGGGTTGGTGTGGCCGGCACCACGCCCGGCTGCCGTCGCCTTCCGAGCGGTGTTGTGTTTTTTTTTTACGCGCGCTGTACCAGGCTCTTAATTTAATGCCGAGTCGACCTAAGGGAGGCCCGGGCCCTGTTCAGATAGGCGTCGCCCATGAGCGGGAATCCAACTCTCGTCGCCTGGTGTCTTCGTGCGCAGCGCATTAACCGCTGCGCCCCACCGCTCCAGCCGCCACCAAAACGCGCACTCACAAACGCGCGCGCACGCACGCACGCGTTAAACCGCGGTTCTCTTAAGATGGCGACGTGGCCATTGTGGACCCCCCGTGGGGGTCCAGGCATCGGCACGGGGCCCGCGGCAGAGACGGAGCGGCCGGAGGGCGACGGGTTTTTTCTTTTTTCTAACCTTGAGTTTTCCCGTGTAGAATTTTTTTTAAATTAGAATGTCATGTGTATATTTTTTTTACGATTGTTCTCACGGCCGCACAGGAACCGTTATTGTGATGCTGCCCCGTTGTCAAGGGATGGAAGGAATTTCCGTGCGGAACTGTTGCGGGGAAGCGCAGCGACGACCCGCGTTGCCCGGAAGATGATGTCATAGGATTACTTCTCTTGGTCAACTCCGGCGACTCGTCTTGTATACGTCCCCGCTGCATCACGCACGCACAAAAGATAAAGATCCTCCGTGTGTAGCCTTTAGCGGACTGTTTGGGGCAAGTGCTTTTGGCGAGCACCTCATGGAGACCCGGCCGCCTTTGTGTCCCCCAATGCTGATGTTTACACACCCGCACCGGGTACTCGTTTGAGGCCGAGTCGACCTTGTTGAGGCCCAGGGGCTGGTTCAGATAATCGTCACTGGTGTCGGCCGTGAAACGGGAATCGAACCCGGGTCGCCGGGTTCGTTTCGTAGCGCAGTTGGCCAACCGCTACACCGCACGCACACACACACACACACACGTGCACGTGGCGGTGCGCATGACGTGCACACGCGCGCGCGACACGAACCAAGCGCACACACACACGAAGTGTGCACACGCGCGCACACACGTACGCCTCCGGTAAACATTGGCGTGTGCTGGCAGCGGCGCTGCTCTACCCTACACGTGGCTGCCTGTGACTCGGCGCTCCGGAGGCAGCAGCGAGGGTCGGTGGATTGCAGACACGCACACACACACGGGTCGTGAAACTCCCGACCCGTGGGCGTCTCCCGGCTTGCGGCCAGGGTATTATTGCAGTACAGCAGCAAGCGGGGTTAATTCACCTCCCCGCTCTCGTGCTCGCGGGTTTTCGGTCCACGCGTCATTAGTTCGTGCCGTCGCAAAGCCCGTGCTGGGAGAGCTCCCCCCCCCCCCCCCCCCCCCCGAACCGTTTCGCATTCTGGCGCCTTGCGAAGCTCCTGGCACGTGGGGCGAAACGTCGGACGTTGTGCCGAGCGGCACGCGGCAGGGTCCGGACGGGTTAAAAAACAAACCAAAACGGTGGGAAGTTTGCGCCAGGTTGTTTTTTTTCGTGCGGACATCGGCTGTTGGCTCGCCGCGCTCAAGAACCCGGGGCTCCTGAGAACCTGGACCGAAACCCCCCCCACTCCCAGTGTCAGCAGTGCCGCTGTGTGAACCCCCGTGAGCTCGACGACACCGCAGACCCGGATGTCGAACCCAGCGTCTCGGCGGTACCGGCGCGCCGGTGTCTTGTGGAACGGCCATTTATGAACGCCGTGCGAGACAGCCGGGCCCAGGCTTTGAGCGCGCCGAACTCCAATGGCGCCCACTCGGTTGTCTCTGACGCGGCCACTATGGGCCCCTCTGAGTCGAGTCGCATCCAGCCCCTTTAAGTCGCGACGATGTGGAGGCTGTGGGAGCTCGGGGGGGGGGGGGCGGGGGGGGTGGTGGGAGGGTGCGGGAGGACGGGTTTTCTTTCTGCTCGGGCTTTTGTTCGCAGCGAGGAATCTGCGTGGAAGATGCTTAATCTCCGGCTGCGCTGCGAGCCTGCATGGTAATCACATTAGGCGAGGAAGGCAGCACCCGTGGCCTGCTACCCTACCCGCTCAACCCCCCCCCTGCCCCCCACCGTCTTACAGGAGCTCGACTCATTGGTCAGTAACGCTGCGGCGTTAATAAGGGGGGCGGTGGGAGGGGGGGGGGATCGATGTATAGTGTGTCTCTCCCGAGTGTCCCAGGAGGTTTGCAATGGACTTATCGGAGACGCACAGCCAGCACCATTGAAATGCCGGGGTGGAATCTTGCGTCTGAGCCGCCGATGAGTCAGTGGTCTTCAGCCCGGTCACGAGTGGCCCGCGCCAAGAAACCAAACAAAAAAAACAACACCCGAAGTATCGAGTTCTCGCTTAATAACGTCGGCGAAACTCCGCCCCCGATGATGGCAAACATCGCGATGACTAACGTGCGACAAAGCGTTCACTCTCACGGCGATCTCCTGCCCGCGTTGCGTGCCTTTGTCTCTGCGTGCTTGGTTCCCGCGTGTCTCTCGGACGACTTGCAGGAAACCTGTTCTGCCCGTTGGTTGGTGACTTGGGGGGGGGGGGGTTGGGGGGGATATATTTAAGTCGCACATTTACAGAAAAATGGAATCTATGCTCGGAATGTGGTGACGTGGCTCGGAATGCGGCGGTTGCGAACGGGCGCTCGATAACACTTCCGTTCCCTGCCCCGCTGCAGCCTCTGCCGCCCGCCAATCGCGAGTGTTCAGGGATCCACAAATTGGGGGTTTTTGGAGCGGGTCTGCCGCTTTGCCGCGCGCGCAGAGCCTCCTTCCCGCGTGACCTTTAACCTTTGTGACCGGCCTGCCGATCGGTAGGGTCACGTGCGGTTGGGGTGAAGTGTGGGTAAGCCGCCCCCCCCCCACCTCCTCCAAAGCGCCTGACTAGCTTGGAAGATTTAGACCGCAATACCTCTGGCAGAGCCCTCTCTCTCTCTCTCCTTCCAAGTGGAGGTCCTTCTGCCAGCAGTGGCCTGAGCATGGAACTGCAGGGCTGCGCTGTTACCTTTTTTTTTAAACGGAGAGACTAGTGCACACACGACGTACAACGTGCGGTTTGTTATTTGCTTATTTAAAAAAAAATCTTTCACCTGGGGAAGGCCGCTCGAGATGCAACAGATGGATTGCACGCCCGTCCGGGGGTTGTCAGCTGCTTGAAAAAAAAAAATCCGGGTGTTGGGACCTGCGCCCAATGTTTGAACGTTCGAGTTCAGTGCCTCACGAGCGTTTGTCTCCCGATGTTTTTAGGTCCGGCTGGGCTAAAAGAGGGGGCAGGCCCCTGCAAGTGTCCTGCTCCTGCCACTACTTTACATTGGGGACCCCCCCTCCCCCCCCCCCCCCCCCCCACGCCAAGTAGAGGGAGCTCTAGAGAGGGTATTTGGCCTACTCTTCCACGCTGCGCCCTACGTGTTGTTGGACGAGGTCCGGAGTGCCCGCACTTTACCCCACCGCACGCAAACTTGCCCGTCAAATTAACCGTGGGACCCATTTAGATTGCTGCTAGGTGGACCGAGTCAGTGGAGTGGTGTGGATTCAAGAAATTTGCTCCATTGGGTTGAACCGGCATGCCAGGAGAACGAATCTAACCGGGCAGCCTCTGGATTGTTATCATGATCTTTATTATAGTCTTGAGGAATCCGATGAGCTTATGAAGCTCTTTTTCACAGATGTCCAGGATTGCATGAACGTTGGATCACGGAGGTAAAGTCCAACCACTGATTTTTCTCGTATCATCACGAAAGCGAATTAACCTCCTTCGTTACCTTCCACAGAGAGAAGGGCCTGTTGAGGGGGGCCGTTGAAGGGGGGGGGGGGAGCTCAAGGGGGGAGGGGAGCTCAAGGGGGGGGGGAGGAGGAGGGGGGGGGGGCCCACGCACACATCGGAGCCGGCGTGACCCTGGCGACTCAACGGCGGGGCTCGCAGCACCCGCGGAATTCCGCGGCAACGACGCTGCGGCTGTAGGAGCAAGCGACCGGCGGAAATCCGTGGCAGCAGGAAGCTCCGCGGTGGACTTTCCTTGCCCGGTTGCGGCGGGACGGGACCGAGGACACGAGCGTGGCGCGACCTACCCTCGCGGCGACAGAGCGGAGCTCCGGGGGGGGGTGACTCGACGACTCGGGCGTTTTCCCGCAGCGATACGGCCTTGCCGCAACCGTCGTTGGTTCCGCGACCCCCGCGGTCGGCTCGGCCGTCGCTCCGGAGCGAGCGACGATGCAGCAGAGCGACCTGGACGAGAAGCTGAAGCGCTCGCTGCTCAAGGCGGCGGCGGGCGGCGGCGACCCGAGCCAGGTGCTGGCGGTGGTGACGGCCGCCGACGTGGCGCTGCATCACCTGCAGCAGCAGCAGCAGCAGCAACAGCAGCAGCAACAGCAGCAGCAGCAGCACCACCAGCACCTGCAGCACGCTCACCAGCACGCACAGCAGCAGCAGCAGCAGCACACGGCGGCAGCGCTCATGAGCATGGCCGGCACGGGCGCGGCGGCGGCAGCGCAGGCTGTGTTCCTGCCATCGCTGCTCGAGGTACGGCACGGCAGCAGCAGCTACGGCACGTGTCTCACCTCACACTTGGTGAGTCGGTGGGTGAGTGAGGCGGCGGATTTGTGAGTGACTGAGTGAGGGGTTGGGCGGGCGGGCGGGCGGGCGGGCGGGCGGGCGGGCGGGCGAGCGAGTGGATGCTGGGAGGTTGGTTAGTCCCAGCGTGCCGGTTAGTCCCAACACTGCGTGTCCTTCGATTGCCGCGTGAGGAGTGGTGGCACAGCGATTAGCGCGCTGCCTGAAGAACCGAGAGACCCGGGTTTGAATCCCAGCCACGGCCCACAGCAGCAGCGAGTGATGACTCGTGTTTCAACCGGTCTGAGCCTCTTCCTCGGCCTTAGATGATACCCGGTGCGGAGTGTGTAAAAACGACATCGCCGGAGAGACAAAGATGTCCAGGCAGTGCTGGTCATACCAACCCATCGTGTATGTGGCAGGTCGTGGGTTCGATCCCGACCGCCGACGCCTGCTGTATATTAGGAGTTTGCGTGTGTCTCTCCCCGTTGGTCACGCAAATATTTTCTTCGGGTCCGCCGGATTTCCCCTCCAAATGTAGAATCAACGTCACGCGTTTTGGGTATTTGGCTGCGATAAATTTGCATGCGATAAGCCACCTTTGTTAAAGCTATCATTTGTGATGGCCAGGTCTCTTCTGAAAAAGAGCTACGTAGCTCAGTGGGCCTTACCTGGTAAAACAAAAAGGCCATACCAGCCTTCGTAGGTCACACTTGCTCACAGTAATTTCACCAAAAAGCCTGTGTGGACTACCTGGGGGGTGGGGGTGTTTAAGTTGGCACAGGTGTTGGGTGCACATGCCAGTCATCTCAGTCAGTCAACCCATAACACCTGGCTCTGCCAGCGAGCCTTCCGCATCTCACACGATCGCCTCAAAGTGCCATGCATATGTGTGTGTGCGCGCATGTCCTCTATGTACATGGACTCTCTGCATATGTCGGTTTATGTACTGTGTGTGTGTGTGTACACTCTGAATGTGTAATGCAGTGGTTCTTACTGCAGTCTGCACCCCTTTGGTTCTCAATCGTAAACAAATGTATAATGTTAATGAATACTCAGGTTCGATGAAACAAAGTAGTTGTACCTGAGTTGCTTTCGATGATTTACCTTCTAAACAAATCTGGCCAAGTTCGCACCCCAACCAGAAAGGGCATTTCGCACACCCCAGGTTAAGAACCGCTGGTATAATGGAATCTTGTCGATGAACATTCGTGTAATTATTGTGTATGCTCTCTGCGTGTGTCCGTGTGCCTGGCACGGGCGCTGTGGCGACGTCACAGCCACTTTGTGGTGCAGGGTGGCGGCTGTTGTTGTTGCTGTGCGTGTAATTTGCCCCAATACCCGGCTAGATGCTAACTGGGGGATCTTTGTCTGTGTTGGACTTTATGGCCTCTGTGTGAATAGGTATGTACGCTACGTGCTTGTGTTGTGTGCTCTGTGTGCACATAGCACTACAGGTGTGTGCACGCTGGGTGTGTGTACTCTGTGCGTGCGTGCATTATCTGTCCATGTAGTGCGTGTCAGTGTACTATGTATGCTCTACATGCGCTCTGTCCTCTGTGTGTACTCTACTGTGTGTACTCTACTGTGTGTGCACCTCTGCACTCTCACTTTGTGTGTACTCTGCGGGCGTACTCTGTAATTGACGTGCTCTCTGCGTGTGCGCGCCCACCTGCCCCAGCCCCTGCCGCTGCAGCTGCGCAAGGACGTGCTCCTGGGCGAGGGCGAGGCGCCGGTGTTCCGTACCGGCGTGAGCCGCGTCGCCGATGAGATGCTGGCGGCGGCCGCTGCCGCCGCCGCCGCCGCCACCTCCCGCGATGTTGCCATGTGCTTCACCGCCGGTACCGGTGCCGCCGCCCCACCCACACACCCCCCTCACACCCCCCCACTCAGGTCGTGGCTCCGTGTCAGAGTGAGCTGCTCGACATGGGAAAGTTGGAAGTTAAAATCGTGGTTTGGGGAGGTTGATCCGGCCCCATTGTACGGGAAGTCAACAGTGGTTGTCCTATGGTTGGACTCGCCCCGTCATAGTAACGTGGAATTTCCAGCACTGGCTCGGGGAGGTGAACGGGTGATGAGCACCGAATGCCTCTCTTGACATCACCAAGACGTAAAACATGAGGGTTGATTGGCATGCAACGGCATATTATCAACACGTGACTCCGGAAGCAGTTCTGTGAAGTCAACTTCCGCTGTCAGACACAATGTTATCCACCGCTCGCTAGGAGAATTCCAAATTCAACTTAAAAAAAACAAAAATCTAAAAATACTGACGAGGGTCAAGCGCACGTTTGCTAGTTGTGTTGCGGCTTCCGTGTGGTACGCGGGATGACATTTTTTTTCCCGTCTTTGTTTCACCAATTTTGCCGGTCCCCCTCCCCCCCCACCTTCAGCCCCTACGTCGACCACCAGCTCCTTGCTGGGCGACGACAGCAAGGGGGGCGACAAGTCCCGGGAGGACTCGGCCCGGCATCACCAGCAGCAGCAGCACCAGGGCGGCCACTCGCACCACCCGGTGGCGCAGCTTGGCTCTCACCTCAACCCCGCTCACCTTCACCACCACCAGCAGCACCACCAGCATCACCTGCAGCAGCAGCAGCAACAGCAGCAGCAACAACACCATCACCAGCAGCAGCAGCAGCACCATCAGCAGCAGCAACAACATCAGCAGCAGCAACAGCAGCAAGCCTCGCCGCATCTGCCGCATCACCACCACGTGCACCACCACCACCACGGCGACGGCGCGGTGCTGCACCACCCGGGCGCCGGCGGGATGCACGGCCTGACATACGCCACGAGCAGGGACCTGCGCGAGGCCTACGGAGACGCCTTCCCCTTCCTCGACATGAAGGTGCGGCCGTGCGGGGCCCCTGGCGCCAACTCTCAACCCTCGCCCCAAAAACACCGGAGCACCCCGCTCTCCCTCGCGCTGACCCTGACCCCTAACACCTGACCCTTAACAACTAACCCGAACACTGACACCAACACTGACCCTAGCCCTAACCACACTTGAACTTGGTGTGGCTGGTCGATGATGGGCGGGTGTTGTGACGCGGTTCAGGTTAAATTCCCTATTGTGCCCTCCCCTGGGGAGGGGGGTTTGGAAGGCGGAACAGAACGCTCCCTACTTCCCTCCCCCCTCCCCACCCCTCGTTACTAGCGGGTCATTCTATCCCCGAGCAAGGTCACTCGGAGAGAACTCGGTCTCTACGATGGCCGATCAGCCCTGGGAGGTTTTGAAAATCTAGTTTCTGATCTGCCATCATGCCTGTTGAAGATTGCAGATGAAGAATAATAAACTGGGTGGCTGTGCTGGCTCGGTGTCCCGAGTCACCGAGCCAGCACAGCTGAGTATGATACCTTGGTTCAATCCTTCCGACTGGATGTATCTGTCAAAGCATTCGAAATGGCCATGTCACGCGTGCTCTTTAAATTTGTAATATTTCTCCATTGTTTAACAAGGAAGGGGGGGGGGGGGGTAGCTCATTTCCATCGATGGCCTTGACCGGCCCGTATGGAGCGGGCTTTGGTCGCACGCGTCGTGGCCGGAGTGATTGTGGCCGATGGTCAAGAATAACGGAGTGGCAGCCAAGCGTACGAGAGCATGTCCACCAGGGAGGGAGATGGAGCGATGAAATTGGCTCCTGTTGCATCGCAGGAATGTCAGGGATGTGGCGACATCTTGCGGAGGGGGGGGCGGGGGCGGCCTTCATCCAGCAGTGGATTGATCGCGGCGGATGATTACGGTGGTGACGATTGCCGTTGATGTGAAATTCCTGTTGTCTCTTCTTCGGACCCGCAGCTTGCAATAAAGCAGGAGGCCGAGGCTGTCCCAGGCTGTGGAGATGGTGAGCTGCGGCAGCAGCAACAGCAGAACTTTGAGCAGCAGCAGCAGTCGGTGCCGAAGAAGAAGAAGGCGAAACGCAAGCCCAGCGCCGCTACCAAGGTGAGCTGCACCCACGGTGATGTGGCCGGGGCAGTAGCGTGTTCTCCGATTGTCCATGCTGACGGTCGGAGCCCACCCTAACCAACCGGAGCCTAGGCTTAACCACATTCGCCAAGCCTAACCCTAGGCCTCACCATGACCCCACTAACCAAGCCTAACCCTAGGCCTCACCATAACCTCACTGGCCAAGCCTAATCCTAGGCCTCACCATAGCCACACTCGCCAAGCCTAACCCTAGGTCTCACCATAGACACACTAACCAAGCCTAACCCTAGGCCTCACCATAACCCCACGAGCCAAGCCTAACCCTAGGCCTCACCATAACCCCACTAGCCAAGCCTAACCCTAGGCCTCACCGTACACCCACTAGCCAAGCCTAACCCTAGGCCTCACCATAACCCCACGAGCCAAGCCTAATCCTAGGCCTCACCATACACCCACTAGCCAAGCCTAATCCTAGGCCTCACCATAGCCACACTCGCCAAGCCTAACCCTAGGCCTCACCATAACAACACTAGCCAAGCCTAACCCTAGGCCTCACCATAACCCCACTAGCCAAGCCTAACCCTAGGCCTCACCATAGCCACACTAGCCAAGCCTAGTCCTAGGCCTCACCATAACCCCACTCGCCAAGCCTAATCCTAGGCCTCACCATAACCACACTCGCCAAGCCTAACCCTAGGCCTCACCATAACACCACTAGCCAAGCCTATCCCTAGGCCTCACCATACACCCACTAGCAAAACCTAACCCTAGGCCTCACCATAACCCCACGAGCCAAGCCTAACCCTAGGCCTCACCATACACCCACTCGCCAAGCCTAACCCTAGGCCTCGCCATAACCCCACGAGCCAAGCCTCACCCTAGGCCTCACCATACCACCACTAGCCAAGCCTAACCCTAGGCCTCACCATACACCCACTAGCCAAGCCTAACCCTAGGCCTCACCATACACCCATTAGCCAAGCCTAACCCTAGGCCTCACCATAACCCCACGAGCCAAGCCTAACCCTAGACATCACCATAGCCACACTAGCTAAGCCTAACCCTAGTCCTCACCATACACCCACTCGCCAAGCCTAACCCTAGTCCTCACCATACACCCACTCGCCAAGCCTAACCCTAGGCCTCACCATAACCCCACGAGCCAAGCCTAACCATAGACATCACCATAGCCACACTAGCCAAGCCTTACCCTAGGCCTCACCATACACCCACTCGCCAAGCCTAACCCTAGGCCTCACCATAACCCCACTGGCCAAGCCTAACCCTAGACATCACCATAGCCACACTAGCCAAGCCTTACCCTAGGCCTCACCATACACCCACTCGCCAAGCCTAACCCTAGGCCTCACCATAACCCACGAGCCAAGCCTAATCCTAGGCCTCACCATACACCCACTAGCCAAGCCTAATCCTAGGCCTCACCATAACCCCATGAGCCAAGCCTAACCCTAGGTCTCACCATAACCCCACGAGCCAAGCCTAACCCTAGGCCTCACCATAGCCACACGAGCCAAGCCTAACCCTAGGCCTCACCATAACCCCACGAGCCAAGCCTAATCATAGGCCTCACCATACACCCACTAGCCAAGCCTAACCCTAGGCCTCACTATACACCCACTAGCCAAGCCTAATCCTAGGCCTCACCATAACCCCACGAGCCAAGCCTAACCCTAGGTCTCACCATAACCCCACGAGCCAAGCCTAACCCTAGACATCACCATAGCCACACGAGCCAAACTTTACCCTAGGCCTCACCGTACACCCACTAGCCAAGCCTAACCCTAGACATCACTATAGCCACACGAGCCAAACCTTACCCTAGGCCTCACCATATACCCACTAGCCAAGCCTAACCCTAGACATCACCATAGCCACACGAGCCAAACCTTACCCTAGGCCTCACCATACACCCACTAGCCAAGCCTAACCCTAGACATCACTATAGCCACACGAGCCAAACCTTACCCTTGTCCGTGAACTCCCTCCCACCCGTCTCCCCCCACGCAGACGCTGGGCCTGGAGGCGGATGGCACGGCAGTGCTCACGCACCCGCGCCCGTACGCGTGCGACCGCTGCAGCGCGGCCTTCCGCACCAACTACCACCTGCAGAGGCACTTGCAGTCTCACACCGGTGAGCACAGTACGAGCCTCTTTTTTTATCCTTTTTACGTTTGCACGCACAAGCCCCCCCCGCCCCTCCACCCGTCCCTCCACCCCCCCCCCGTCCCCCCCGGCCCCTCCACCCCCCACCCCCCCCCGTCCCTCCACCCCCCCGCCCCTCCCTCCCCCGCCCCCCCCGCCCCCCCCCCCATCCCTCCACCCCTCCACCCCCCCGACCCTCCCCTGCTACCCCCCCACCGCCCCCCATCCGTCCCTCCACCGCCCCCATCACCCCACCCCCCCCCCCCCCCCCACTTGCGGGCTCCCTCCCCCCTCCCTCAACCCACACGACGCGCGGCACGGAACTGACGCGACGCGGACCGATGGCCGGGCTTGGTTGAAATCGGTCTCGGAAGACGCAACCTCAAACAAAGGAGCAGAGATGGCGTGGCGCCGGCGAGGCCCCAGTCGTCGTTCTTGAGGGTTCGGATTCCTCGCAAAGGGCGAAACGCCAAGGTGGTCCGAATTATTTAAATAATGACACGACTCATTTTGCTCTGTTGGGATCACACGCAGCAACAACATCGCCCACCCCACCACCCGCTGCGATAAACCTCCTGAAAAAGAGTCCTCCCTGGGTAAACAAGCCGTAATCACAATAATGATAATACTTTCATAATCCATAATAGAGGTTTTGGGTTTAGGTTGCTGAATAAAAATGTGTTCGTTAAACCCGCCACCACCCGACACAGCCAAATTGGTAAGGTTTGTCACGTAAACGAAACATGCCAATTAAATATTCGTTCAGCGCACCGGTGTGTTGGAGAGCAAATCCTCGGCGCGTACAATTCGTGTTTCGCCAGTAATTCCAACCGGCATCATCAGGCGGGACAGCCAGATTTGTGGAGAAATCCCCCTGTGCGTTACCTTGAATGGGCAGACGACGGTGCCGGGGGGATGCTTTGTTAGGGGTTGCGTCCTCCCGCTGGCCGCGTGCACGGTTGCGATTGCGGGAACGGCGACTGGGTTGTGGCGGCAAAGCCTCTGACGGACGGCGATGAGTTTGTGCGTGTTTCCCTGGACAGCCTCGCCGAGTCCTCAAGACGCCTTTTCAGGAGGGTCCCCTGCGCGCGGGAGCTTTCGCCGAAGCCGCGTTGGGAATTTTTGCTTTTTCGACTGACGACGGCCGCTCGGTATCGTCGCCCGCCGATGTCACGCTCGCACCACATCGCCCGCTCCTCTCCCCCCTCATCACTTGCTCCTCTCCTCCACATCGCCCGCTCCTTTCTCCCCGCCACATCGCTCGCTCCTCTTCCCCCCTCCACATCGTTCGCTCCTCTCCCCGCTCCACATCGCCCGCTCCTCTCCCCCTTCCACATCACCCGCTCCTCTCTCTCCTCCACATCGCTCGCTCCTTTCTCCCCGCCACATCGCTCGCTCCTCTCCCCCCTCATCACTTGCTCCTCTCCTCCACATCGCTCGCTCCTCTCCCCCCTCCACATCGCCCGCTCCTCTCCCCCTTCCACATCACCCGCTCCTCTCTCTCCTCCTCATCGCTCGCATCCTTTCTCCCCGCCACATCGCTCGCTCCTCTCCCCCCTCATCACTTGCTCCTCTCCTCCACATCGCTCGCTCCTCTCCCCCCTCCACATCACCCGCTCCTCTCTCCTCCACATCACCCGCTCCTCTCTCCCCCCTCCACATCGCTCGCTCCTCTCCCCCCTCATCACTTGCTCCTCTACCTCCACATCGCTCGCTCCTCTCCCCCCTCCACATCGCTCGCTCTTCTCTCCCATCCACATCGCTCGCTCCTCTCCCCCCTCCACATCACCCACTCCTCACTCCCCTCCACATCACCCGCTCCTCTCTCCCCTCTACATCGCTCGCTCCTCTCTCCCCTCCACATCACTCGCTCCTCTCTCCCCTCCACGTAGCTCGCTCCTCTCTCCCCTCCACATCGCCCGCTCATCTCTCCCCTCCACATCACCCGCTCCTCTCTCTCCACATCACCCGCTCCTCTCTCTCCTCCACATCACCCGCTCTCCCCCCTCCACGTCACCCGCTCCTCTCCCCCCTCCACATCACCCGCTCCTCTCCCCCCTCCTCATCACCCGCTCCTCACTCCCCTCCACATCATCCGCTTTTCTCTCCCCTCCACATCACCCGCTCCTCTACATCATGGTTATGATAACAACAGCGATTATGACAGTGATGACGACGATCCTCCTCGTCACCCCTGGCCTGGGTGTGAGCCCAAGCTGTGACCACAACAACAGCCGCCCATGCACGCCAGGCTCTGGAGGGGAATTAATGGCGCACTACTCCTCTAGCACTGCTGTTTGGCGATTGGTGGCCGTCGAGAGCGGCGCACGCGCTTCCTGCTTCTCCTCCTGCTCCTCCTTGCTGTGATGTCACTCCCACCTGAGATGCTCCTTCCCACATCCCCCCATCTGCCTCATTCCCCCCCCCCCCCCCCCCCCCCCCCCCACCGCTTCAAGTTTGTTTCGCTCCTCGTCTCCCTCCTCACCCCGTCGTCATCGTCCCCGTTATCATCCCATCCTCACCCCGTCCTCCTCCTCCTCACCCACTGCTGACACTGTCGATGACCACCCCCACCTGCGTGACGCGACGCGCTCGCAGACGGCGCTCCCAAAACCCCGCGGGCATTCTGGTTGGAGCGCTGCCGTGTGGAGCATTGTGGGTAGATGAGAATACAGGCGCAGCTCCGTGCGGTGCCACCACCCGTGGGATGCGACGTCGTTTGGGTCGGCCTCGTGGCTCCGGGCGAATATTGGAAATCCCGATTATGCTGATGAGACCCAGCCCAGAGTTTGCTTCCTCGTACAGATGCTGCTGCTGGACGTTATTAATCCGCGGAAAGCCAATTGGCTCCAATTAACGCTATGTTTTACACGTGGAGATACAACATATGGGGCTCTGCTCGTATCCGCCTCGAGCATGTAGTCTGCGTAGCCTCGACAGATCCCCACCTGGGATAACTGACGGGTCACCATTACCACGGTTGTGACCGTTGCCTTGCTTGGCGATGTCTTCGCGCGCTTCGCTCGTCCTCCCATACGCCCGAGAGGCCGCGAGCCGCCATGGGTGACGTGTCCCGGTCGACGCGGCGGGACCTTGCCAACGAACCAAGCGGTTTCCCCGAGACTCGAGCGAGGCTTCCGCCTGCGTAGACGACGCTCTTTCGCCGGCGGTAGCAATTTCTACCGGCGTCCGAAAGTCCGGCCGGTCGTTAAAAAGTTAACGCGCGAGCGGCGAGTCGCGTGACGAGGTCGGCGAGCCATCCCGCGCGGTCCGCGGAGGTGTTCTTGACCTTTCGACTCGGCTTGGGTTCAGAGTTCACGTTGGATCCCATCCGGTTTGTCCCGCCGTTTCATTTTTGGCCGACGGGCGACCGCGTTAGCCTGCTGACGACGGGACCACCCAAAAGCGGCGAGCCCACATTTTTACAATGACAATGCCCTGCGTGCCCGTTCATCCGCGTACAGCAACGATCGGCCTGGGTCCGTCTGGCACCTCCGCTCTTCCACTACCGAGCGATGCGTCGTCAAAGAATCTGCCGTCAATCATCTGCAGCCTGCCCCCATCACCATTGGCCGTTCCCGATCGCCCATGCCTGCGCGCTTGTATGTTTACACGTGCGTGTGTGTATTTGTGTGCGTGTGTGTACACGTGCGTGTTTGCTTGTGAGCTTGTGTGTTCCCCCGTGCCTGTGTGTACGCGCCGGGGAGCGGTGGCGCAGCGGTGAGCGCCGTGCGCTACGAGCCCAGCGACCAGAGTTCGATTTCTGCTCACGGCCAACACAAGTGACGATTATCTGAACCGGTCCTGGGCCTCCCCTAGGTCGACTTGGCCTCAAATGAGTGCCTGGTGCGATGTATAAACATCGCCACTAGGGAGACAAAGGCGGCTGACCATGGTGCTGGCCACTCACCCCCTCATGCCAGCCTTTATAGGTTTTCGCCAACAGCACTTGCACCAAACGTTTGTTAAGTCTATATTGTGATTTTGTCTTTGAAGCAGTAGTTTAGTGTTTAGTGCACCATGCTACTAACCCGGAAACCTGCTCGTGGCCAACACCAATGGCAAATATCTGAAGCGGTCCTGGGCCTCCCCTAGGTCGACTCGGCCTTAAATGAGTAGTACCTGGTGCAGTGTGTGAACATCAGTATTGGCGAGATGATGGCAGCTAGATGCGGTCCTGGCTTTACCACCCAGGTGCCAGACTTCATAGGTGCTCGCCAACAGCAGCTGTCCCAACAGTCTGCCAAAAGGCTTTAACGTGGCAACTTTGTCCTTGTATGATCATGTACCCGTGCACACGTGGCTGTGCGTGTGTCCATGCGTGTGTCCATGCATGTGTGTGTGTGTTGCACGTCTGTGTACGCGCGCACGCGCGCGTGTGTGCGTGTAGTGGCACAGTAGGGTACTGCTGGTGCATCATCTCAGTCAGCCAACCCATGGCAACTGGGTCTGTCCCGTGACCTTCTGGCAGCGAGCCTTCAACACTTGACGTGGCCTCAGAGTGCACCTGGCCTGGCACAGGCACCGTGATGAAGTCACCGTCACTTTGTGGCGAGTGGCGGGTATTGATGTGTAGTGGGGAGCGGTAGTGTAGCGATTAGCGCTACGCTGCGCTACAAATCCGGCGACCCGAGGTTCGATTCACGCTCACGGCCAACACCAGTGACGATTATCCGAACCGGCCCTGGGCCTCCCCTCGCTCGGCTCAACCTCAAATGAGTACCTGGTGCGATGTAGTAAACACCATCACCAGGGAGACCGACGGCCGGGCATGTGGTGTTGGCCACCCACCCCCCTCGTGTGCCGTGTCGGCCTTCATATGCGTTCGCTAACGGCACTTGCCCCGACAGTCTGTTGAAGCCATAGGGGGGATCTTTGTGTGTGTGTGTGTGTGCGCCTGTGTGTGTGCGTACACGCGCCCCGCTAGCCACGATGCCGGCGGGGCGGTGTCTTTGCAGTAACCGTTGCTCTACCGCTGGTCTTTGTCTCCTGCCCTTTCCGACAGGTGAACGGCCGTACCAGTGTAGCACGTGTAGCATGAGTTTTGTTCAAAAGTACCTGCTCCAAAGACACGAGAAGATTCACAGTGGTAAATCTGAGAGCGCTCACCCTCCACCCCCCCCCTCCCTCCCCACTCCCGCTCGCCCTGCCCCCTCCCCCTCCGCTGCCTCTCCCTCCCACAACGTGTCTTCTCCCCGCGTAGTCAAATTCACGCACCGCTGGCCGTCGGGCGGACTGCGCGAGCCCTGTGTTCACCTTCTTCCGCACCCCCGCCCCACCCCACCCACCTCCCCCCCACCACCAGCCACCCACACCAGGCAGCATGGTTTCTTCGTCCCAGGAGTAGTTCCGGCCCAGGGCCGCCGCGAGGCGCCCCGCTCCGTACGGCACCGAGCGATTTGTTTATGCCCCGTCCTTGCGAGCGGCCTAGCGGTGCTAATCGGGCACCGGGAGGTGGGCGGGGGGAGGTGGGGCGGTGATGGTTTCCGCTCGCTGCGTGTCTAGGTTTAGCGGAGGAGAGCCTGCGTTATGGTATGTTTTGGGGGGGTAATATTAAGTTGTCTTCCGTGTGCTCCCCCCCCCCCCTCCTCCCCCAAAGGCGTTTAAATAATTCGAGCCTTCGCCTTCCTCTTGCACTAACCATAACACTGGCACGAACTTGATCCGTGATCCTCAGCCTGGCAGCGACCCTAGCCCTAGCATTGCCCTAACCACCAACGCTGACACCAATCCCACAGCCTCGTCTCTGTTACGGCGACTCCCAGTCCTAACTCCTGCGTCTCTGGTCCGCGTCTTTAACCTGCGTGGTGGTGGCCGGGGCATGGTTACTGCAAAGCGGTGGCGGTGGTTGCTGTGGTGATGGTGGTGGTGATGAGGCTGACTGTGCTGGCTGGCTGTGCTGTGCCGTGCTGTGCTGTCCTGTGCCGAACACCAAAGGTGAAACTGCAGGAAGGTCAAACTGCGGACTGAGTCAAAACGCGCAGAGGTGGTGCGGAGTGAGAGGTAGGGTTTTGCTTGGGGGGGATATCTAAGACTGCTTAGGAGGGAAGCCATAATCCAACATTGAATAGTTCATGGCAGATGAGGATTATGGCTAATGCCAGGGGTCCGGTTAGCTTGTGTGGTTAGGGGTTTTCGCAAAGCCAGTATTTAGTTGGCTCGTTTGCTTACTGTAAGGGAGGGAGAGGGCTTATAGGTTTGTGGGGTTATGCTTGTGGTAAGGCTGGTGTACGTAAGGGTGCGGATGGCGTCTGTTTAGCTCGTGTGGTTAGGGGAAGGGATAGTATCTTTGCCTAGTGTGGTTAGGGCTACGGACAGTCTGTTTAGCTCGTGTGTTTGGGGTAGGGATAGTTTAATTACCTAGTGTGGTTTGGGGCAGGGATAGTGTCATTACCTAGTGTGGTTCGGGGTAGGGATAGTGTCATTACCTAGTGTGGTTAGGGGTAGGGATAGGGTCATTACCTAGTGTGGTTAGGGGTAGGGATAGTGTCATTACCTAGTGTGGTTAGGGGTAGGGATAGTGTCATTACCTAGTGTGGTTAGGGGTAGGGATAGTGTCATTACCTAGTGTGGTTCGGGGTAGGGATAGTGTCATTACCTAGTGTGGTTAGGGGTAGGGATAGGGTCATTACCTAGTGTGGTTAGGGGTAGGGATAGGGTCATTACCTAGTGTGGTTAGGGGTAGGGATAGTGTCATTACCTAGTGTGGTTAGGGGTAGGGATAGTGTCATTACCTAGTGTGGTTAGGGGTAGGGACAGTGTCATTACCTAGTGTGGTTAGGGGTAGGGATAGTGTCATTACCTAGTGTGGTTAGGGGTAGGGATAGTGTCATTACCTAGTGTGGTTAGGGGTAGGGATAGGGTCATTACCTAGTGTGGTTAGGGGTAGGGATAGTGTCATTACCTAGTGTGGTTAGGGGTAGGGACAGTGTCATTACCTAGTGTGGTTAGGGGTAGGGACAGTGTATGGTGGCTGAAGTGGATAGGGGGTAAGGGTGTCGTGTCCGGTGCAGTTAGGGCTAATGTCTGGTTGGCTGGCGTGGTTAGGCTTGGTGTACGATGGTTTCCATCCTGGTCAGTACTTGGTGCTCGGCCTGCGTTGGCTCTCACTCTGGTGAGCGAGGGTGGCTTTGCTGCCCTCGCCCCTAACCCCCCGCCACTCCGTTGGCAAGTCCCCTGCGTTCACCGTTGGTCTTCGCTGCTTCCTGTGTGCGCGTTCGCACGCCCCCCCCCCGCCCCCGCCTGCTCCATTCCATGCAAATCCCCGCCCCCCCCCCCGCCCCTCCGCCCCTCCGCCCCCTCCGCCCCTTTCGCTCGCCTCTTCACCGGACCACCCCAACGGCCTGTCGGAAACTGCCTGCCGCGTCGCTCGGCCGAGTTGCTTTTTTTTGTTTAACATGGTTTACGGTGGCCGTGTCGGAGACAACCGAGCCGGTGAAAAACCGGGTTCTCGAGGCGTAGCGAGTTGATGGGTCTCAGCCCGGTAATTGCACAAGAGACCCGAAACCAGTATCACTAGTGTGGGGAAGAGCAACAGTAGCGGTTAACCGATGGATAGACTCATCCCCATTATGAGAATGTGGCATTTACACCGCCTGCTCTGGAGGGCTGTGATGAACGCTATGGTGTGGCGTGACCTCGCGGTGTGGCGTTACCCTGTGATGTGGTGTGGCTTGGCCCCCATGGTGTGGCCCCTGCAGGCGAGAAGCCCTTCCCGTGCGACCAGTGCAACATGCGCTTCATCCAGAAGTACCACCTGGACCGGCACAAGCGCACGCACAGCGGAGAGAAGCCCTACAAGTGTGAGTTCTGCCTGCAGGTGAGACGCGCGCACGCGCATGCACAAGCACGCACACACACACGCACGTAAAAACACTCGCTCACAATCACGGCTTCGCCATCCTCGCACACGTACGCACACATAACAGCAAGCGCAAATTTTCCGCTAAGTGGCGGTGACATCACCGTGGCGCTTGTGCCAAGCTAAGTGCACTTTGAGGCCACGTGGAGTGTCGTGCGCCCGCTGGCAGGAGGTCACGGCACAGACGCAGCAGGTCTCATGGGTTGAATGGCCGAGATGACTGGCCGATGCACCGCCTGTGCCCATTACTGTGCCAACTTCAATGTCAACAACCACTGAACCACGTGGAAAATACGCACGCACGCACGCACGCACGCACGCATCCGATGGCTTCTCTCACACCCCCCCCCCCCTCCGCTCCTCCACCCCGCGCCCATCCCGCCAGTGCTTCGCCCGTTCGGACCGGCTGCTCAAACACCGGCGCATGTGCCACGGCACGGGCCCCGAGGAGCGCAAGACGCTGTGCGGAGACGGCGGCGCCGGTGCCCCCAAGAAGAAGAAGAGCAAGAAGAAGCCTCAGCAGCAGCAGCAGCAGCAGCAGCTGTCGCACCTGGACGCGGGCGGCGAGGACTCCAAGTCGCTCGTCGACCCGTCCAAGGACGGCTTCACCGTCGACCTGTCCCAGCTGGGGGGCGTCGCGTCCGGCCAGCACGGCCTGCTCATCGACCCCGGCGGCGGCGGCGGCAAGGACCGCGGCGGCGCGAAGAAGAGCGGCGACGGCGCCAAGATGGACAAGCGCGGGGCGGGGTTGATGGATCACGAGGGCGGCGGGGGCGTGGACATGATGGGCGACGACGGGGGCGGCGGCGGCGGCGGCGGGGGCGGCAGCGGCGGCGGAGCCAAGGGAGGGTCGCACAACTACGATGGCGCGGCGCAGTTCCTCAAGAAGAAGCGCTTCATCCAGGGCGGCGGCGGCATGGGCGGCGGCAGTGGCATGGGCGGCCGGGACTTCCTGCTGGGACTCGGGCCGCAGGGAGGACTCGTCGATTCCGCCATAGCAGGTACGGGGCCGCGACGGGTTCCTGGGCGGGGTGGGGGTGGAGTGGGCCGGTGGTGACAACGCAGCCCCTTGGTGAGAAGTGTCAGGTGAGGTGGCTGGTGAGTGGTGAGTAGTGTCAGGTGAGATGGCTGGTGAGTGGTGTCAGGTGAGGTGGCTGGTGAGTGGTGAGTAGTGTCAGGTGAGGTGGCTGGTGAGTACTGTCAGGTGAGGTGGCTGGTGAGTGGTGAGTAGTGTCAGGTGAGGTGGCTGGTGAGTAGTGAGTAGTGTCAGGTGAGGTGAGTGGTGAGTAGTGTCAGGTGAGGTGAGTGGTGAGTAGTGTCAGGTGAGGTGAGTGGTGAGTAGTGTCAGGTGAGGTGATTGGTGAGTAGTGTCAGGTGAGGTCACTGGTGAGTCGTGTCAGGTGAGGTCACTGGTGAGTAGTGTCAGGTGAGGTGAGTGGTGAGTAGTGTCGGGTGAGGTCACTGGTGAATACCTCGAGTGTTTTTCAGGTGTCGTGTGCGGGGTTGGCACCCCCCCCACCCACCCCCCCCACCCCCCCACCCACCCACCCCCCCAACCCCCCCACCCCCCCACCCCCCCACCCCCCCACCCCCCACCCACCCCACCCACGTGTTACACCCGAGAAGTTTGTGCGCGGGTTTCTAGCCGCGGTGCAAGCGGCGGTCGTGACCCTCGGTCTCGGTGCAGCCGCCGCGGGCCACCCCCCCCCCCCCTCTTCTAGCGCCGAACGATGAGGGAGGGTGGGCACGCCGTGCGTTCGTGGTGTGCAGGCGGGGTGCTGGGTCGCTGCTGGACGCGTCGCAGGCCATGGGGCTCGACCTGAAGATGCTGCAGGACAAGAACGGCGGCGGCGTGGGCAGCCTCCCCGACGAGGTGCTGCACACGCTGCTGGAGCACTACGCCAGCAAGGCAGACACCAACGTGAGCTACGCCGTGCGTGCGGGGATGGGGCTGTACGGGGGGATGAGAGAGGCGCGCGTTGTCCATGTGCCAGGGTAGTGGTGGTGAAGCTGCGCCCTCCTGTTGCTTGCCCCCGTGGTGCGCCGTCACTGGCCCACTCGATTCGTGGCGTATCGGCGGTCTCCCAAGTCCTGGGCGTTCGAATCCTCGGTTGGGAGGGGCGGTGGCCGACCTGGCCCATCATCTCGCCCTCCGGGGTGGATAAATGAGCACCGACTTTTTTTGTCGGGGAAGCCAAACATCGGTTGTCCAGAATACAGGTTTTAGATTTTTTGGGTTGGGCCGCGTAAATGTATGAATGTGTCGTTAAACCCGCCACCACCCGACGCAGCCAATCGTCACGTAAACAGAACGTGGCCAATCCGTTACTCGTACAGCACTAACCGGTTGTGTGTCGGAGAGCAAATCCGCAACATTTACAATCCGAGTGTACGACGTTCCGCCAGTAATTACAACCGGCTTCATCAGGCGTTGCAGCATCCAGATTTGTGGAGAAAAAAATCCCCCCTCCTGTTTCGTTGCTTAAATCGAAGGGTGGGGGGGGGGGGGGGGCGGTCGATGCGATGGCGTCATTTTGCGAGCACCTCTCACCTCGCCCGCCTGCCACTGGAATGTCCGTCCGCTGCTGGCTCGTCTGAGCAGCAGGGGGCCACCTTGTGGCGCTGTGCGAACCCGTTGCCGCCGGTCTCGACGCGCGTGCAGGCCGCGTTGCAGCGCCAGCAGCAGCAGCAGCAGCAGCAGTTTGGCCTGGGGGGGGGGCGGCGGCGATGGCGGTACGGCCACGGCGAGCCCGGGCCTCTCCCGTGGCGACGCCACCACCACCGCCGCCGCCGCCTCCTCCTCCACCTCCTCCTCCTCCTCTTCCTCGCCCCCCGTGGCCGCGCCTAGCGGCGGCACCGGCGCCACCTCGTCCACCTCCCCGCCGGCGTCTGCGGCGCTCGCCGCCTCGTCAGGCGACAAGCAGAGCATGATGCAGGTGGGGTTGAGGACGTGCGTCTGTGTGTGGTGTGTTGTGACGTCCGTCTGTGTGTTTGTGTGTGTGGTGTTGTGACGTCCGTCTGTGTGTGTGTGTTGTGACAATTGGACCCCTATCTTGGTTCTCTCTCCATGTCGCCCCGCCTCTAAACTCCGTCTCTCCGTGACCCTGAACACCATCTCCACCGTGCTGTCTCTCTGCCTATCCGTCTATCGTTATCCCTCCCCCTCTTGTCTTTGCTTCTCTCCCGTCCCGCGTCTCTCACCGCGTCTCCCTCTCCCCGCGTTTCCGCCACCGCCGCCGCCGCCCCCCCCCCCCCCCCCCCGTCTCAGGACTACTCCAAGTTCCTACAGCAGGCGCTGGAGCGCACGAGCCACAACGACACGGCGCTCTTCAACCCCATCGTCTCCACCGCGCAGGCCGGCGCCGGCGGCGGCGGAGCCGCGGCCTCCGCGGGGGGGGGGGCGGCTCCGGCTCGTCGGGCCTTCGCTACGGCCACGACGCCTCCTCCTCTTCCTCCTCCTCCTCTTCCTCCTCCGCCGCCGCCGCCGCCGCCGCCTCCGGCTCCTCCTCGTCGCCGGGGCAGCCGCAGGCCGGCGCGGGCTCGGCGCCACCGACGCCGGCGCGTCTCTCGGCGGGAGCGCCGCCGCCCCCGCCCCCGCCGCCCCCGCCCCCGCCGGCCCCTCCCGGCGGCGCCGGCCAGCCGCTGTTCCAGCTGTCGGCGGCGGAGCGCGCCGCGGCGGCCGCGGCCACCGCCACCGGCACCGCGGCCGCCGCCGCCGCGGCCGCCGCGGCGTTCGGGGCGCTGGCGGTGCAGCCCAACTTCCTGCCGGGCGCCGCCGTCGGGGTGGACCCCGCCAGCCTGCAGGTGGGCACCGCACTGCGGGCAGGGGGGTACACGGGGGGGGTGGAGGACGCGCCAGTGTGTGTGTGTGTGTGGGTACGCGCGGTGTGTTTGTTTGGGGATGCGCGGTATGCGTGCGTGGGCAGGCGCAGCGTGTGTTCGGGTACGCGCGGTGTGTGTACGTGTGGGGAGGCACGGTGTGTGCGTGTGGGTACATGCGGTGTGTGTGTGTACGTGCGGTGTGTGTGTGTGTTTGGAGATGCGCGGTGTGTGTCTGTGTGTGGGAAGGCACGGTGTGTGTGTGTGGGGACCCCGCTGTGTGTGTGGGGACCCCGCTGTGTGTGTGTGTGGGGACCCCGCTGTGTGTGTGTGGGGACCCCGCTGTGTGTGTGTGGGGACCCCGCTGTGTGTGTGTGGGGACCCCGCTGTGTGTGTGTGGGGACCCCGCTGTGTGTGTGGGGACCCCGCTGTGTGTGTGTGGGGACCCCGCTGTGTGTGTGTGGGGACCCCGCTGTGTGTGTGTGGGGACCCCGCTGTGTGTGTGTGGGGACCCCGCTGTGTGTGTGTGGGGACCCCGCTGTGTGTGTGTGGGGACCCCGGTGTGTGTGTGTGGGGACCCCGCTGTGTGTGTGTGGGGACCCCCGCTGTGTGTGTGTGGGGACCCCGCTGTGTGTGTGTGGGGACCCCGCTGTGTGTGTGTGGGGACCCCGCTGTGTGTGTGTGGGGACCCCGCTGTGTGTGTGTGGGGACCCCGCTGTGTGTGTGTGGGGACCCCGCTGTGTCTGTGTGGGGACCCGCTGTATGTGTGTGTTTGGGGAGGCACGGTGTGTGTGTATCTGGGGACGCGCTGTGTGTGTGTATCTGGGGACGCGCTGTATGTGTGGGGACCCCGCTGTGTGTGTGGGGACCCCGCTGTGTGTGTGTGAAGGCACGGTGTGTGGGGACGCGCGGTGTGTGTTTGGGGAGGCGCGGTGTGTGTGTGTGGGGACCCCGCTGTGTGTGTGTGTTTGGGGAGGCGCGGTGTGTGTGTGTGTGGGGACCCCGCTGTGTGTGTGTGTTTGGGGAGGCGCGGTGTGTGTGTGTGTGGGGACCCCGCTGTGTGTGTGTGTTTGGGGAGGCGCGGTGTGTGTGTGTGTGGGGACGCACGTGATGGCGGTGATGGCCGCGGCCTCGGTCCTCACGTCCTCCAGTGGGGGCCGCTCTCTCGTGCCCCTCGGCTGCCGCCGGGCGCCGTGGCACACGGCAGGTGGGGACGGCTCGTGGCCGCGGGGGGGGGGAGGGCGGTGGGGAACCGCTATTTATAGCCGTGCGCATCTGTCGCGCCACGCGTCCCGTTACAGCAGCAGCAACAGCAGCCTGACAATTGCACTCGCGGATCTCTAAGTGCGGTCAACGTCGTCCGTGTGTCCCTCATCCAGCGCGGGGAGGGGAAGAGGGGTTTGCGTAGAGGTTGAGGGGGGTGTATGTTGATGCGTCTTAAGAGTGGCAGCGGTGGTGTAGCGGCGAGCGCTCTGCGCTATAAACCCGGCCAACGTCGGCGACGAACATCTGAACCTATCCTGTGGCCCTCCCCTACGTCGACTCGGCCTCAAATTAGAGCCTTGTACGGTTTGGCTGCCCCAACAGTCTGGCGAAGGCTCCACGGGGGGGATCCGTTGTCTTTGTTTTGCAGGTGGCTGGTCGGAAGCCCCAGTTCCGTCTCGTCGACCCCCAGCACTCGTTCCAGTTCCCGGGCCCGGAGAGCTTCCTCCAGGGCATGGCGCCAGCGCACACCTTCCTTGAGCAGGTGGGGAGCCACTCCGCCCTGGTGAATACCGAACTCACCACGCTCTCACCACGCCCTCACCACGCTCTCACCACGCTCTCACCACGCTCTCACCACGCCCTCACCACGACCGCACCACGCTCTCACCACGCTCTCACCACGCTCTCACCACGCCCTCACCACGCTCTCACCACGCTCTCACCACGCTCTCACCACGCTCTCACCATGCTGTCACCACACCCTCACCACGCCCTCACCACGCCCTCACCACGCTGTCACCACGCCCTCACCACGACCGCACCACGACCGCACCACGCTCTCACCACGCTCTCACCACGCTCTCACCACGCTCTCACCACGCTGTCACCACGCCCTCACCACGCCCTCACCACGACCGCACCACGCTCTCACCACGCTGTCACCACGCCCTCACCACGACCGCACCACGACCGCACCACGCTCTCACCACGCTCTGACCACGCCGGCACCACGCCAGCACCATGCCCCACCACACACCCTCACACCCGCACACTTCACTTGCACAGCAGTGACACTGAGCAAGGGTGAGTGACGGCGAGCGAGTGTGACGGCGAGCGAGTGTGACGGCGAGCGAGTGTGACGGCGAGCGAGTGTGACGGCGTGCGAGTGTGACGGCGTGCGAGTGTCACTGCGTGCGAGTGTGACGGCGAGCGAGTGTGACGGCGTGCGAGTGTGACGGCGAGCGAGTGTGACGGCGAGCGAGTGTGACGGCGTGCGAGTGTGACGGCGTGCGAGTGTGACGGCGAGCGAGTGTGACGGCGTGCGAGTGTGACGGCGAGCGAGTGTGACGGCGAGCGAGTGTGACGGCGTGCGAGTGTGACGGCGTGCGAGTGTGACGGCGTGCGAGTGTGACGGCGAGCGAGTGTGACGGCGTGCGAGTGTGACGGCGAGCGAGTGTGACGGCGAGCGAGTGTGACGGCGTGCGAGTGTGACGGGCGTGCGAGTGTGACGGCGTGCGAGTGTGACGGCGTGCGAGTGTGACGGCGTGCGAGTGTGACGGCGTGCGAGTGTGACGGCGTGCGACTGTGACGGCGTGCGAGTGTGACGGCGTGCGAGTGTGACGGCGTGCGAGTGTGACGGCGTGCGAGTGTGACGGCGTGCGAGTGTGACGGCGTGCGAGTGTGACGGCGTGCGAGTGTGACGGCGTGCGAGTGTCACTGCGTGCGAGTGTGACGGCGTGCGAGTGTGACGGCGTGCGACTGTGACGGCGTGCGAGTGTGACGGCGTGCGAGTGTGACGGCGTGCGAGTGTGACGGCGTGCGAGTGTGACGGCGTGCGAGTGTGACGGCGTGCGAGTGTGACGGCGAGCGAGTGTCACTGCGTGCGAGTGTCACTGCGTGCGAGTGTGACGGCGTGCGAGTGTGACGGCGTGCGAGTGTGACGGCGAGCGAGTGTCACTGCGTGCGAGTGTCACTGCGTGCGAGTGTGACGGCGTGCGAGTGTGACGGCGTGCGAGTGTGACGGCGTGCGAGTGTGACGGCGTGCGAGTGTGACGGCGTGCGAGTGTGACGGCGTGCGAGTGTGACGGCGAGCGAGTGTGACGGCGTGCGAGTGTGACGGCGTGCGAGTGTGACGGCGAGTGCCGGTGTCTCCAGTTCCAGCAGGCGAGCGTGCGCATCCCTTCCTCGTTCGCCGGCGCCTCCAACGGGCAGCTCAACCCGCGCCTCAAGCTGGGCAACCCCGAGTTTGGCGACTACGCGCTGGTCAACGCCGCCGCTGCCGCCGCCGCCGACGGCCAAGCGTCGGTGTCCACGCAGGCGGCGGCGCCGCAGAGCTTCGGGTGAGCGCACGCGCGGGGACGCACACACACACACACAACAACAACAACAACAACCGCCATTCGCCACTAAGTGGCGGTGACGTCACCACGACGCTTGTGCCAGGCCATGTGCACCCTGAGGCCACGTGAAGTGTCGAACGCCCGCTGGCAGGAGGTCACGGGGAAGACCCAAGTGCCACGGGTCGACTGACTGAGATGACTGGCTGGTGCACCACCTGTGCCCCCTACTGTGCCAACCTGCTGCGCTTTAGCCACCCGGCGCTCCGCTCGTTGTTGTGAGCGTCGCTCCTCCACCCTCCGTTGTTGTTGGAGGGCGACTGCCTCCAACTGCCCAGTAGCATCCTTCACGAGCCTCCTCCACAGAGGCCGATCTTGACACCGCTGGTACCAGTCATCGGCAAGTCCACTCAGCTCCACGTCCTCCTGTTCCACATCACTCCATCTCTTCTCTAGCCCGTGCCGCGCCCGCTTTGCCCCCTCAATCCGGCCGAACAAAAGCTGTTTCGGCATGCGGTGGCTGGGCATGCGGGCTACATGACCCAGCCAACGCAGCCTTGCCTGCCGGAGGAGCTCACCAATGGGACTTTGCCCAGATCTTTCAAGGATTTGTGAGCTCCTCACACAATCCAGCCTGGTTAACCCCAGGATGGATCGTAGGCAGGTCAGCCTAAATGTTTCTAACCGGCGAAGATGTTCCATTATGGGGGGGTCCACGTTTCGCAAGTGTAGAGAAGGAAGGGAATGACCATGGCCGAGAAGATCTTAAGCTTAATGCGGAGCGACAGTCCAGGTAGCTTCCACACAGCGTTAAGCAACCGATGAAAAGATATTGCCGCTCGACTGATTCGGAGTGAGACCTCTGCTGTTAAACTGGAGCCGGCCATAAGCACACTGCCCAGGTATGGGAAACTCTCCACTCTCTCCACAACTGCCCCATCACCGATTGGGAGTTGTGGGGGTGGAGTGTCCGATGGTACAAAATACCCAGGCGCAGGTGCTTAGTTTTGGTGGGGCTGATTGTAAGGCCCCATCTCTTAGTGGCACGCTCCAGTCTCAGCAGCAGCGTCTCCAACTCCGCCTCTGAATGAGCAGCTATTACTAAATCATCGGCATACATAACGTGGTTGAGCAATAGGGAGCCATCCCTTGACCGCACCCGGGCATCGATCAGCCTCGCATTATATCTGTACCAAATGGAGATTCCCCCGGTACAGCTATTGAAGGCTTCACGAACTACGTGGTCAAAATAGATGTTAAATAATGTGGGAGCCAGAGGACATCCCTGGCAGGAACGCACGCGCAGGAACACACGCACGCGCAGGATCACACGCACGGACTCGCAGGAACACACGCACGCGCAGGAACACACGCACACACGCGCAGGAACACACGCACGGACTCGCAGGAACACACGCACACACGCGCAGGAACACACGCACGGACTCGCAGGAACACACGCACGAGCAGGAACACACGCACGCGCAGGAACACACGCACGCATGCGCAGGAACACACGCATGCACGCGCAGGAACACACGCATGAGCGGGAACACACAAGGACAAAGGCTCCCCGTCCCCCGTATAGCCTTGAACAGGCTGTTGGGGCAAGTGCTGTTAGTACCTGGTGAATACCGTCACTGCACACGAGGGGGTGGATGGCCAACGCCCACGCCCTGCCAGCTTTATCTCCCCGCTGCCTGATGTTTGCACACCGCACCAGGTATTCGTTTTAAGGCCAAGTCGATCTAGGTGGGGGGGGGTGGTGCACGGGGATGGTTCTGTGGTTGTCACCGGCGTGCTGCTGTGTCCTCCCACACTTGTGCATTAATTTTTAAGTGGCAAACAACACCTTAATATATAGGGGACCACAGAGCTTGGGGGTATTTGTTGGTTAGCGCCGGCTGCTCACCGCATGTCGGCTGCTGCTGCCTTTCGCGCTCGTCTTTGGTTCCTCCTGGTGCTGGTGAGTCGCCCTCTGTCCGAGTCGTCCTCTCTCTCTCTCTCCGAGTCACCCTGAGTTGACCGTTGTGCTGCGGCGGCGGCGGCGGCGCGTTGGCATGATTATTGCTCGTGTTATCATTCACGTTGAATGCAGAGAGGGTGGCAAGGATGCGGAGTGTGTGCGAGTGTGTTCGTGAGTGTGCCATTGAGACGGAGAGAAGCAGAGGCGGTGTGAGTGAGTGAGTGTGCGAGAGATGGAGGAGAGTGTATGGGCGAGTGTGAGAGTGAGTTTTCGTGAGAGTGTGAGTGAGTGTGAGGGGGTGAGAGAGGGCGGTTGAGGAGAGTGTATGGGCGAGTGTGAGAGTGTGAGTGAGAGCAGAGACGGTGTGAGTGAGTGTGAGAGGGTGAGAGAGAGAGGTTGAGGAGAGTGTGAGAGTGTGAGAGTGAGTGTGAGAGTGTGAGAGTGAGTGTGAGAGTGTGCACTCACGCCATGGCAGCTACAACGCCTTTCTGTGCAGCTCCTTCCCGGAGGACCACCACGCCGAGATGCTGAGATACGCCCGCTCCTCGCTCCGATGAGACTCACGGTGACCGCAACCACGTGCAACCACTTGCAACCACGAGCAACTGCATTCCCATGCAATCGCGCGCAATCAAATGCAAGCACGGGGTGAACCGCACTCGGTGTCACGAAACTGCCCAAAACCACGCGCGGCTTTCGCGCAACCGAATTAAATCGCGCGTGACGGCAGCCTGGGACAGCAAGCGAATCGCCAGCCAGCGTTCCCATCGCACGCGATCGCACCACGCGTCCGTGTGTCCAGCCGCGGCCGCGCGCGACTGCACGCGCGCCATCGCGGGCGGCCCGCACCACCGCCGCTGCACCCACGTGCACTTCAATCGCGCGAACGTGCGCGGCGTGCTCTCGCGGAGAACCTTGCTTCACGGCCGTGTGCGTGTGCGCGTGTGTGTGGCCGCCCATTGGCTCCCAACGGGGAGGAGGGTTTTTTTTTTTGGGATCATTTTATCACGTGGGATTTCGCGACCAATATCATCCATAATTGGCAAGGGTTTGTCACGTCAACAGAACGTGCCAATTCGTCACGAGTACAGCGGAAAAAAACACAAACGTTTACAATCCGAGCACGACGTTTCGCCAGCAATTACAACTAGCTTCATCAGGTGACAGCCAGATTTGTGGGGAAATCCTCCCAACGCACCGGTGTGCTGTACTAGTAACAAATTGGCACGTTCTGTTTACGTGACAAATCCCTTACTAGTTGGCTGTGTCGGGTGGTGGCGGGTTTAACGACGCATACATTTATACGATCTTGCCCCAAAAAAAAACTCTTATGGGGTTTTTATAATTTTTGTAGGCCTCCCGAGTTTCCTCCACGTAGACAAAAATTGGCGGAGAGAGGGGGGGGGCAGGAGATGCAAACGCAGCAGTGGATTCTGAATCCATCTGTGCGGAGCTATGAGAGTCACCCCCCCCCCCCACCTCCACATCCGATAGTGGGGGTTGAGTGTTTCTCCCGGTTCCTCCCAAGAGAAAGTCAGACTCGTTAGCAACGCAAATTGGGCCAGCGGATGACCGTCGGTAGTGGTTGTGCGAGAAACTGACGCTAAACTTACTACGCGCCATCCGCTCTCGCCGTGTCCGCCCCCCCCCCCCTTTAAAAGATCACGTGGACCTCATTTGCAAGAGGGGGAGGGCGCCCGGCCCCCCTCCCCCCAGGCTGTTTGCGTGCCCGCCGTCAGGGTTCGGATTTGCCAAACTTTGGAAAGCGACACACCGCTAATTTTACTCGGGTTTGGAATGGGTCAACGGTGAAAACGTCACCGGCCCGGCCCTGCCCCCCCCCCTCTCCACCCCTCTTGCATTAACCGTGAAACGCGCGGCAGGAGGAATCCGATGAGCTCCAACACTCTCACTTTCACTGGTGTCCAGTATGGGCGGGCAACGGGGTCGTCGTAACGTTACAGCGACAGTACGAAAAAAAACAGCAGAGGGTGTAGGGGTGCAAAGTATGGGAGGGGCGAAAGAAATCACTTTTTTTTTAAAACAAATATATATTTATCTCTACACGGATAGGAGAAAAACTGAGTAAACTGACGCTCACCTTTCGGGCTGTGGGTGGTCCGCGTGTCTCCCGCACGCAGGCACCGCCGTGTTCCGGGACGGACTCTGCTGAAGGAACTTTTGATAGAAGCTGTGAAATTATTTGACCTATTGAGCGCACGGGACAACGGAAGGACGCACGGACACCGCAACACAACACGAGCACGCACACAGCAGCCCCCTCTCTCTCTCTCTCTCCCCTGGGGGGGGGGGGGGCGGAGTGGTGGCGGATCGTTATGATCACTATAATTATTATTAATCATCGTTATTGTTATTAATATTTTTATTTGCCCGCCCTCCCCCCCCACCCACCCTGTTCATTTCCTGACGAAACACCCCCCGCCGCCCCCCCCGCCCCCGCCCCCCCCCACGAGACAAACGCAGCCCGTTAAGCTGCGTTTGCATTTTACCCAAACTCCACGTGACTGTTTTTTGGAAAGGAATATTTTTAGGCGAGAAAGAGAGAAAGAGTTGCTTCTTCTTCTTACGATCGTTGTGGCCGCACGCCCGCCCGCCCGCCCGCCCGACTCCGGCCCCCCCCGGGCTCCCCCCCAGCCCCCCCCCCCCCCCCCCACCGGCCGCCCCCCCTCCCCGCGTTTTGTTGTTTTCATTTCACGTTTTTATTTGACCGTTATTTTAAACAAAAAAATGATATCTGGCGGAGTTGCGCAGCCGCTGTAGCGTTAACTGTGGGGCGTGAGGTTGTTAATGCCAGCGTTAAATGTAGTTAACCCTCATTTACTATTAATGATTAACTCTTGTTTAAGCATAATTACCATTGTACCAAACGATTAACAATTGCATTACCTCTTGTAGTATGTAGGCGAGTCTTTGTAAGTTTTTCTTTCATATATGTAACTTGTAAATACAGACATAGCATGCCCGCATTGTAGAATTGCATTTTTACTATATTTTTCGGTAAAGACGACGACGCTGGTGATGATGATGATGATGGTGGCGACGATGACGATGACAGTGATGGTGATGATGCCTCCAGTTGCTGGTTTCTCTGACCTTAAAGTTCTAATTTCACCCCTGTACACACAACTCCTTCACTTGGCGAGTGTGTAATAAAGGTAGCTGTTTATCACGTTGCGTTGCACGGCCGGTCATTGTGTGCGCGTGTCTGTTTCACCTACGAAGTTGCTACGAGGAACACCTCTGCCGGTTTGAAACATTCGGGCTCGCCCTGCCCTACGATCCATCCAAGTTTGGTGACCGAATTGGATTTCACATGCTTCCTTGGAAGACCTGGACACAGTCCCATCAGTTAGCTCCTCCGGCAAGTGAGGCTACATTGGCGGGGTCGTGTAGCCCGCATGCCCAGCGCCTGCATGTCCAAGCAGCTTCAGTTTGGCCAAATAGAGGGGGCTAAACGGGCGCGGCACGGGCTGGAGAAGAGATGGAGTGATGTGGTACAGGAGGACGTGGAGCTGATTGGACTTGCCGATGACCGGTACCAGCGGTGTCAAGATCGGCCTCTGTGCAGGAGGCTCGTGAAGGACGCTGCTGGGCATTTGGAGACAGTCGCCCTCCAACAACAACGGAGGGCGGAGGAGCGACGCTCACAACAACGAGCAGAGCACCGGGCGGTTAAAACACAACAAGTCGGCAGGGTGGGGAGCACAGGTGGTGCATCGTGCCAGTCATCTCGGTTAACCCACGCCACCTGGGTCTGTCCCATGACCTGCCAGCGAGCCGTCTACACGTCACGTGGCCTGCAAGGTGCACACAGCCTGGCACAAAGCGCCGGCACTGTCACACAGTGGCGAATGGCGGCTGGCTACCCTTGTGTCTGTACGGTGGGGAGCGGTCGTTTAGTCGTCGGTCCGCTGCACCACGAACCCGGCGACAAGAGTTCAATTCCCGCCCGCGGCCAGCATCGATAGTACCTGGTGCAGTGTGTAAACTTTGGGGGGGGAGGGGGGGGTGGGAGAGACAAAAGCGGCCGTGCGTGTTGGTGGCCACTTGTGCCCCGACCGTGTTCTGCTTCAGCCTACTTAGAGACTTGCTAACAGCACGTGTCCCTCCCCCAGCAGTCTGGTAATGGCTGTGCCGGGGGGAAGGGGGATCTTTTTGTGTTCTCGTGGGAAGTGACGGCACAGCGGGTCACGGCGCGCGCTGTCCCTCCGCACCCAGAGAGACCTGAACTCGATTCGCGGCCATGTTCGAACCGCAATGGTTGAACCGCGCGCGGTAAACCATGGCCAAACTATTCCCCCGGGGGGGGACCCACCGCCGCCGCGTAGGGGGAGGCCTCTTCCGGCCAGCAGCGGATCGACCGAAGGGTCGTGTACCGAACGGCCTCCTTCCCAATCTCCGTGCCTCCCACCACCACCCCCCGCCTAACGTGTACACTCCTGTTAACCCCATCAAGCCTCCTTACCCAGCATGTCCACTTTACACAATAGGTCTGCCTCCCTATCGTAACATTACATTCACCCGCCCTACCCAGTGTGCCCGCTTCTCTCCCTTGCCATTCACCCTCGCGACCCAGTGTGTGTCGTCTAGGAATGTCTTAGATAACCCTCTCGAGGGTCTACAGGAAGGGCCTCCACCAGAGGGAGCCCTCTCAAGGGTCTACAGGAAGGGCCTCCATCAGAGGGAGCTGTCTCTTGAGGGTCTACAGGAAGGGCGTCCACCAGAGGGAGCTGTCTCTTGAGGGTCTACAGGAAGGGCCTCCACCAGAGGGAGCTCTGGTGTAGGCTGTAGTCTATAGGTACTGTGTATATAGGGGCTGTGTATATAGGTACTGTGAATATAGGGGATGTACTATGTAGGTACTGTGTATAATTATATATACTTACATAATTATACATCATTACAAGACATTTCGTACAAGGCATATTTCGGCATGCCTGTCGGGGATCAAGACAACCCCTGGGCACCTCATTTCACCTGCGAGCAATGCAAAAACAACTCTGGAAGGTAAGATGGACAATTGTTGCTCGGAATTTTACATTATAAAATTTGTTACAATGTTTTTAATTGTAAAAGTTTATCACTTGAAAATGTTTTACAATTTTCAATTTTATTGAAAAATATATCATATATGAAAATGTTGCGAGAATCTCTTACACATTAGTCATGGGTGAAATAAATGTATATTTGTAGGATGGTACATAAGGGAAAAGAGAGCCATGAAGTTCGCTATCCCAAGAATTTGTCGAGAACTCACTGACCATTCAAGCAACTGCTACATCTGCATGGTGTACCCTTCCAAACGTCGGACTGGCAAGAACGCACCTGCTATCACGTATCCGGACATTCCTTCATCCATCGCCCCGGTGCCACACTGCCATGAGCTCCCCGTACCCGCTCCTCCGGAGAGAGAGCAGCCGTCTTTAGAAGAGAGCGGCAAGTCAGAGAGCGAGGAAGACGTAGATCCAGGTGACAATATCAGAAGTGGAGCTGAGGAGAGAAACCCATACTACCACAACCAAACAGACCTCAACGACTTGATCAGAGATCTTGGTCTCACAAGTCCAATGCCGAGCTTTTGACGTCTAGGCTCAAGCAGTGGAACTTGTTGTATGAAAGTGTGCAAGTCGCAGATCAGAGGAAGCGTCACCAACCTTTTTGCAGCTTCTTCACCCGTCAAGATGGGCCTCTGCTTCTGCCACAATGTGACCAGTCTGTTCGAGGCAATCAGAATCGCCTGTAACCAGAATGAGTGTCGCCTCTTCATTGATAGCTCATCCAGGAGCCTCAAAGCCGTGCTGTTGCTCCATAATGGTAACAAGTACCCGTCTCTTCCCCTGGCTCACTCGGTGCACCTCAAAGAGGATTACAACAGCATCAAGACCTTGCTGGACGCCTTGAAGTATGATCAGTACGGCTGGGAGGTCATCGGAAACTTCAAAACGGTGGCATTCCTGATGGGTCTCAAAAGGCGGTTTTACCAAGTTTCCCTCCTATCTTTGCCTTTGGGACAGCAGGGACACCAAGGCACACTACCACAGGTGAGATTGGCCACAGCGGACCGAGTTCTCTGTGGGGAGGAACAACGTCAAGTGGGAGCCACTGGTGGACCCCCGGCAGGTGCTGATGCCACCACTGCACATCAAATTGGGCCTTTTGAAACAATTTGTCAGAGCTGTAGATAAGGAGTCGGCACCCTTCAAGTACCTTCAAGACTTCTTCCCTAAGCTGTCTGAGGCAAAGGTCAAAGCCGGTATCTTCATCAGACCACAGATAAATAAGATCCTGGAGTGCAATGAATTCCCCAAGAAGCTCACTAATAAGGAGAAAGCGGCTTGGAACAGTTTTGTCGCAGTGGTTCGTGGCTTCCTGGGCAATCGCAAGGTCTAAAACTATGTGGAGCTGGTTGAGACTCTGGTGAAGAACTACGGCACAATGAGCTGTAGGATGTCCCTCAAAGTCCATATCCTTGATGCTCATCTTGATCAATTCAAGGAGAACATGGGAGCGTACTCGGAGGAGCGAGGCGAGCGCTTCCACCAGGATACACTGGACTTTGAACGCCGCTACCAAGGACAGTATAACGAGAACATGATGGGAGACTACATTTGGGAGCTGATTCGTGAAAGTGATTTACAGTACAATCGTAAATCTCGAAAAACTACTCACTTCTAAATCTTTTGTAGTAATTTTTGTATTACTTTAGTATAAATCCATGTTAATTTTGATTCATATGTTGTTTTTTCCTGACTTTATGTGAACGAAAAGACAAATTCGCCCGCTTTTCTCATTGAAAAAAGGTAAATTTCAAAATATCACTGTCCTGGTCACAAAAGCAAAGTTTGTGGGCAATAATAGCCATTTTACTCTTCTTTTGGCAAAGTCACGTGGAAATAAATAAATAATAGCGCACGGCGTTTCGATTGCAACACAAGCAATCATCATCAGGTACAAATGAAAGAGAAAACAACTCTAGTAAACTTAGAAATATAATGCAATACACACCATTGAGAGTCTGCTAACTTAAGAGTCAACACCCTACCTGGTTGAGTACGTTCTTCCAAAGATTGCTAAATTTGAGAGAGAGACAAAACACAGAGACACACAGAGAGAAGAAATAATCAAAGAGTAACTCCTGCAGTCACAAAAGCTCCAAATCAAGTTTGAACCACCTCTACGGGGAGGTTTTACTGTGTAGGAACTTCCTGGTTACACCACCAGCCCACAGGGGATTATTGTGTCCGTCCGTCCGTCGTGCATCCAAAAATGGGAGAGGTGGGGCTGGGTGGAGAGGGGAGGGTGGGGAGGGGCTGGGTGGGGAAGGTGGGGAGGGGCTGGGTGGGGAGGGTGGGGAGGGGCTGGGTGGGGAGGGTGGGGAGGGTGGGGCTGGGTTGGGGGTGGGAGGGGTGTGGCTGGGTGGGGGAGGGTGGGGCTGGGTGAGGAGGGAGGGGCTGGGTGGGGAGGGGAGGGTGGGGGGTGGGGCTGGGTGGGGAGGGGCTGGTCACCCCGTGGTGCCCTTATAAAACTCAACGTTTCACCTACTCACGCCGGCTTGTGCCCGCCCTCACAGTCGGGCATATTTGCGGAACACACCACGTGGTGCCGCCGTTGACCCTGGCCATTGACCGAGCAATCCGACGTTCTTACCAGCTCCCTCCGCAGGAGAATGTGGTAAGTTGTTTCTCTCTCTCTGTGTGTCTTTGTGTCATCTCTCTCAGCTTGTGTGTCTGTCTTTGTGTCTCCGTGTCTGTGTCTTGTCTCTCTCTCTCTCTCTCTCAAATTTAGCAACCTTTGGAAGAACGTAATCCACCAGGTAGGGGTGTTGACTGTTATGTTAGCCGACTCTCTGTGTTGTGTATTGCATTATACTTCTAAGTTTTCTAAGTTTCATCCTTCTGCTTAGTTCTTTCGGTAAAGTCACGTAGGTAAAAAACAAACAAATAAAAAAATTGTGTTGCCTCCGAAACGTCGTGATTGAATTGTTTTCATTTTTGTTTTATTTCATTAAATGTTTTACTTATTTTTGTTTTACCTACGCGACTTTAGCGAAAGAAGCGAAAGGAGTATGTGGATCCTTGCACTCACGAAAACTTCGAATCGAGAATTTACTCGGCTTGTTTTCTCTTTCATTTGTGCCCGATGATGATTGCTTGCGCTGCAATCGAAACG